ATTTTCCTTTGCTCGGAGGACACCTTGAGCTTTGTACAATAAGTGTTTTCCATTAGAAGGAAAATGCTGTGCATTAAAGCTCCTGAGAAAAAAGAACAGTGATTGCCAGTAATGCCATCAGGAAACAATTTTGTAAATGTTTCACAGTATAAGCATGAATCGATCATTAAATAGGGCATACAAGTTATTTTGCAGACTTGGAACATTAATGACAATTTCTTTGGAGGTGGTGTTATTCTAGGAAAGTGTGAAGTTTGATTTCAGGAACATGCACAAGGGATACAGGAACAAGAAGTCTAAGTCAGAACACTTCGTTAAAATAAAGAAGAGCAGAGCCAAGACCCAGGAGACATGGAGATCTGTTTTGTGAGGCTTGTTGGGGAGAATGGAATAGGATAAGACAGGAGGAGGGCCGAACAAGGCATCATCAGTGATTCCGACAGTAGACTCACTGTACTTTCTGTAGCTCTGCATTGCTGGCCGTTGGGGAGTGTTGAGCTGCTTTCAGACCTGGACAATGTTCAGACCTAGACAGCTAATGTTTATGATGGGAGTTCTTCTGGTGCTTTTAAATGGAAACAAAGCATTTCTTTAAAAATTACCATGGTTTTAAAATGCTTTTCTATTCCAGAAAATCCAGAAGAAGGCAAAGACTAGATGAGTTAAATATGTAAAACTCTAGACACCTCTGTTCTTTATGACAAATGACTCATAAGTTTGCTGTTCATAGAAGGGGAGATCAAGTTCAGATTTTGACCATTATTTGACCATGGCCGTTATTTGCACTAATTAAGTAACTTTCCAAATACTGTGCTTTAAGGACTGGGTGGGCTCAACTCAAATACATGTTTTTGGGAAGACTGAAAGTAGAAGGGTGGAATCTATGTCTGGAAATTACCCTAAAAACATTATTTTTAAATTCAACCTAAGATAGTAAATTTGCATGCCTTGGGCATAGAGCACTTGAAAAAAATGTTTCCATTTCTTGCACCCCTAGAATATTATTTGGTGCATTACTGCATTACTGAGCCAAAACACAGATGCAAAAATTTTAAGAAGTTTAAGAGGCCTGAATGATGATTTCAGTTGGATCCTTCATGAACTGAAGCCCAGAGGGGGCAAGTGACTTGCCCAAGTTTACATTTTATCTTGCAGTTTGAAAAATTTCATTCATGTCTCACTTTTGGGGACACTTTGTTCACTCTTCATATGACACATGGTCGCATTTTACACCTTGAGTTTACAGTCTGGTCTTGAAAGTAACCAATTGTCCCATTGGCTCAAAAGCATGACCATGATGCTGAGCTGATGGAGGGGGCCCATGTTCCTTCCTGCCCTTCAGGAGCTGATCCCTGTGGTTGTATCATCCCAGATCCCGCATCCTCTTCTCTGATTGTTTGAAATTCCAAGAGCTGGTGCGCACAGTGTGAAAACGATAAATGCACATCTCAACCATCAGGTTGCAGTGAAGGGCTAGAAATGGGGGGACTTAGGGGGCTGTCTCTGGGTATCAGTGCCCCATGCAGCCTGTGGCCTGGGAATTCTCCGCCCCGTGTCCACAAGACAAATGCAGACACTGAGAATTTTTAGAAACTTCGTTAGAAGACTGACTTAGACTCTACAGTGTATCTAAAGAAATTTCCTGTGAAGGATGAAGTTTTAGGCTGTGAATAAAAGTTCAGCTAAATAGGAAAAAAAAAAAACCCTGCACCAAGATTCTGCTTCTCCACTTGGTTTAACTAGGCTTTTATGTGTTTCTGCTCATTCGTCCTTGTTTAAAGGTCAATAATGTTCATTCTGTTAAGTTTCCAGAGGGATGGTAAGGATCAAATTATTTCTTTTATGTCCACTAAGAGGGACGGTTGTGTTGAGACACTGGATTAAAAGGTTCTTTGTAGTCTGAAGTTTTGTTTCTTTATAATAGCACTTGGTTTTTAGTTGACCAAATTATGATTGTATTAATATTTCTTTGCTTATTAAAAAAAAGTATTCTCTTTTTATGTCCAGTAATTTACAACCATTTCGATCACAAATAAAAGTAGATGATTCATTTTACTCCCCAAGAATTCTGCTTTCTGAATCAGTGAGGTTTTATTTGAACAAATGTGTTTTCAGTTGAGTGTTCTCTACGATGGTCATACTCTCTAGGGTAAAAAGTGTGGAAAAAGGTGGGTGACCTTGAGAAATACACAATTGCTGTGCTGGAGTTCTTTCAGGGTTGAAATGGAGCAATAAAATCAGAAATCACAAGACGGTTTCTAATTTCAAAGCCAGACAGTCTGACCTCGCCTAAATAGTTCAGGTACAAACCAAGAAGGAACACGGAGAAGGAAATTGAGTTCCCCTCCAGGTGACATGCAGCCACAGCAACCTCCATTAATACATCTGGGGTTTCAGCCTTGGCCGTTCCTTCACTTTTGGGTCTAAGAGATGTTTTTCTCCTATATTTTTATTCTTATTTGAAGAAATTCTGATGAAGCCTCTCTCTATATCCTCTTATACTCACACACAAATTAAAAATCCCCCCTCCATGTTCATTCTTGGTTCTCTGTCCTCCTCAACTACAGCCTACAGTTTAAGACAAGAGAATGCTTTCTGCTGTGTATCGGGTTCTTCAGCTTTTTGAACAAGTCTTCGCTAGAAACCATTAAGGGGGCTTCCCCAACACCTAGCCTCACCAGTGTTTGGGATTCTTTGCTACATGTTTCATACCCAGAAGAAGGAAACTTACATGGGTTAAGGGCTTCCATTGTGCCTGGCATTGTCACCAGCAGTCACCTCCCAGCCGCCGCATTCGATGGATGCTTGTCCATCCTCCATGCAGTGTCTCTTGCGCCCTGGTTGGACCTTCTGCTGACGAGGAGGCAGCACTGTGGTTGGCGGCTTGGGTGAACCATTCTCCAATCCGTTAGTATCTGCTAGATGGAAATTTTGAGGTGTGTTTCTGTTTTTCAGGTTGTATAATATTAAACATCAGTAGTAGTTTGGGAATATTTATTCTTAGAGGTGGAACGGTTTTATTCTAATGCCTGGGAGAAGGAGTTGAAAGTGAGAAAATGTGTGATAACCACAGACAGGCAAAGGACAGAGGACATTCTAGGTTGATTTATTTTACCGCAATAGTGAAATCACTGCCTGGGGGCTTTGGGGTTTACCTGATTCAATGAGGGAGTTTCCTAGTTTTATAGTAATTACCATGTCAGTTGGGAGGAGCTCAGAATGTCTTTTTCTCTCTCTTTTTTGTAAGTGACTCTTTAAAATGTGGTCCTTAGGAAGGAGGATAACTATTAAACATCCAGGGTCTCTTAATTCAGCAACGATGATCAAGCCATTTCCAGCACAAGGAGAAATGGGGATCATGAGAATCTTGAGCAGATGGGCAAATGGCAATGGCCCTCCGAGTTCACACCTAGACTCCTTCCTGGCTGTGTGATGGGCAAGAGTGTAACTGGCCTGAGCCTCGGTTTCCCAACCTGTACTTTGTGAGTTACAGTATTTTGAGGCTTAGAGAGACGATGACTGTAGAAGACTTGGAACACTCTATACGTGGTGGTACTTGGAGGCATCTTCCAGAGTTACGTTTCCAGTATCAGAGTGAGTTCCCGGTATTTGAGGTACAGGATTTGGAATGAGGGTCACGAGAATCATCATCCCAGTGTCAATGGATATCTGAGGTGTGTGAGATGGCCTAAACCTTTGAGCAAAGCTGTGGAGTGCAGCACCCCCTCCCCCGGCTCTCCCTTCCTCCCAGGGTCCTCTCAGCTTCTCAGGCGAGGCACAGGTCAGCCCCTCCCGGTGACTGGTGTCTACTCCCTGTGGAGGCAGTGGTGGAAGGAAGTATAGTGGGGAAGCCACGTCCCTGAAGGTGGAGCCTTGTGAGGACTCTGGGCCCTTCATTCCTGCCAGGCTTTGCTACCTGCCTCCCTAATAACTGAAGAGCCTTGTCAGGAGGGTCAGAGTTACAAGCGTTTTTGTCATCAGCATGCCAGCAGTTCTGTGTATCCATCTAAATGATAGAGGCTTTGAATAAAATGTGGCCAGGATTATAATGGCCTCTTGTTAATGACTGAAAGAAAGAGCAGGCGGCCCTCAGGGCTCTCCATCTTCCCACCTGGGTATCCACATGTCCTCTGCTTCCTGCTCCAGCTGAAGCTGGTTGTTTGTAACTTTGCCACAGAGCCAGGCTTCAGGGATGGTGGTCCACGGAACAACGTGGAGAACGTGGTCTGCAGCAGGAACCTTGCTTTTCCCCCAAATCACAAGCCACCTTTGCCTTCCCTTTAAACCATGTATTAGAAGGTTTTTACCAGAAAAGAAGAAAACAGATATGCCCTGCTGTTGCTAGGTAACCAGAAAAAAAAAAAACAACAAAGCCAGTCAGTCGATACTGGAACGGTTTCCCCCAGGAACCTGGCTGCTCTTGCAAAATGATTCGTATGGTGTTAACAGATTTGTATACTGCTGGGGCTGGAGGGTCTCCAGCCTTCATCTCCTTTCTCCTGGCCCCTTACTGCCCATCAGTAAAACTCCAGGTACATTATCTGAGTCTTCAGGTCAGTTCTTGACTTTGAGATATTCTGAGGGAGGATGCTGTGCAGATGCAAATGCGGCTGATTGCACAGAGCTAGAGGAGATACTGTATTTCTCAGACGTGGAACCACCTTTAAAACTAACTGGGCACCCCTTTCTCAGCAGTCCCAGTGTTCTAACAGCCCACAACTGGTGACGTCTTTATTCATTTGATGTTTCCCTGGGAGTATTTTGTAAAGGTTATCTTTAGCCATAGGAGACAGTTGTACACATAACCGAACATTTTAATATTTTTGATTAAGGCATTAGGTATGCATTTTGTTCCTTCCTCACTGGACTCTGTCATTCTCTCTGCGGCTGGCTCTGTGGCCGTGGCATTTCCCAGTCTTAGGGGGGTCTGCCTGAGTGTCACCTGCCTTGTGGGTCTCAAGCTGACTCTTCTGTGACCTGTGCTGTCTTGTCTTTTGCAGATTTGGACATCTCTCAGACTGAATACCCACCCCTTAGCGACTCCAATCCACACGGCCCTCAGCTGCAGACATTTATAGCAGAAGCAAAGCTCAGTCTACAGAGAGTGACCAGCCCAGATGGGGAATCTGGAGATGGAGCAGAAGAAAATATTGTTTACCTCTAACTGTGTTGTTGTGTTTCCAAACAAAACAAAACACTGGTGTTTTCGGGAGAAATTTCTTTTTCCTTTTCCTGATGTGTGTGTGACTGCGTCCACATTGCTTTAGGAGTAATATTTAACGTTTCGTGCAAGTTCATTTGGGGGCATGAGTCTAATAATTAAATTATTGAAAGCAGCTGTTTGTAATGATCATTCACTTACCACACCTAATTTCAGATTTCTGGAGGAGAAATTAACTTAAGTAAGCAAAAATATTTTCCAAGTTGTTAGGACCCTAAGTTTCCATGTTATATTTTCTACTGGATCATCTGCTTTTCAAAGTGTCCTTTAAAATCTTGACGAAGCAGTTCGGACAGAAAGAGTGATACTCATGTTGTGCAAACTTTCGCCATCACAGCAGCTAATTAAGGAGAGTGACTTCAGTGCCCTCAGAGACAGAGGAGGATGTGGAAAAGGCCTTTTCTTGGCTAGTCTTTGGGACATCGAAGGGGTCACACCTGGTGGTGATCTGTTACAGTCACCATGCAACCAAGGTGTCCTGTCTGGACATCTGCCCTGACCGGGCGGCCACTCTGCTGTGGACACAGTCTGGACTCAGGACCTGGGCCAGAGGTTTTTCAGATACACTTTATTGGTCCTAAGGCTTGTCGGCTTTGAAGCCACAGTTCAGCATCATCCATCATTCAACACAGCCCAGAGGCAAAGCCGCAACGAGTCGGTTTGGATGTAAACTTGGCTACTAACGTGAAGCGTCAGTAGTGGGCGCCCGTGCTCCTGGTGGCTGGCCTGTCGCCAGCGGCCTGCACTCCCTGGAAGGAGCTCCACGCTGCAGCTAGTTCAGGACAAGAACGGCTGCCCGGTGAAGCTTGTTGCCTGTATGTGCTTTTCCACAGAGGAAAACCGGTACGTCTTGCCTTCAGGGTAATACGGGTCTCTCTGTGAGAAAATAAACCGGGAAATGCTTTCAGGTGGTTCTTCAGAAATATCTGTATATGTTTTGGTCAGTGTCAATAAATACCTTTTACCTCACTATTTTACTTTGAAATTTTAAAATTGTGTGGAACTGTAATAAAATACACATTTCATACTCAAATGCAACCTCCCTTTATTAAAAATGAAAATAAAGGAGGAATACTAAATCCACCCAGACTTGCCGTCCTTACCAGGAGGGAGCTGTGATCAGAAAGGAAAAATATTCACCCATCTCCCATTGCTTGTTTTTTCCCTAAAGTTGCCAGTTGGATAACTATTTTCACTTGAGCAAGTCAAATCTTAGTTTTAAAGAAAGCCTTTTTGGGAGAGGGGCACCCCTTTCTTTTTGACTTGCTGCTTCTGGCCATTTGGGTCACAATCATATTAACACATTCAGAGACAAATCTTCACAGAATGGATATAGCTCACTAAAATGTTAATCAATCACTTCATCTCCAAAATGAACTCCTCAATTATAAGATGCATCTTCTCTCCCTAAAGACTTCGAGACAGAAGGCTCTATCTTCCCTCTCTCTCAGTAATGTCTATTCCAGAATCCTCTATCCTTCGAATAAAAAGCATATAGATATTTCAGTCCAAATCCTTGCTCCAATAACTATAAATATCTTTCCCTTTTTCCTGACAGCAGATATGGAAATTAACCATGTGTGAAAATAGGTAGAGATGTTCTAAATCCCCGTGGAGTTCTTTAAGAACATGTGTGCTCAGTTGATTTTCAAGCCCTGCAAACTCTGGGGCTTTGTGTAGCCACCCTGGGGAAGGCCTTGGCATCTTTTGTTATGTCTCTGTTCATAGGTTCTTCTTGATAACTTTAATATTTAATTTTATGTCTTTTCAATTAACATAACTAAGTCTCAAAGGTTTTTTGATAAGTTCTTCCGTTTTACTTTGTCCTCACTATTTAATGAGCTCAGATCTCCGTAGAGTTCACTCCGTGGCTCCAACAGAAATTCGCTAATCTTAGAAGACCACCCTATTTCTCAGCATCATAAGTTTCCGTCAAAGGATACTTCCCACCCACCGAAGATCTTGAAGGAAACATTCATCCCTTTAGAGACTGGTTGTGGAAGGGAAAGCAACGTTTTTTGCTCTGTCCCTTCCAGGCTGCATTCATCTACTTGCATCTCGTTTATAGTCCAAGCTTCTCTGCGGCTCATCAGGGCATAGTTGCTGGAATCCTGGGACACTTCCCAGCCCACTCACCATTGGAGCCCTGGTCATTCAGAAAAGGGTAAAAACACTTGCTGCGGGGTGTGTGTGTAAGGGTTATATAAGGTGAAGATGATAAGATGAAATTGGGGGTTACAGATAAGTGAAAAGGAGGATGTATTCCTTCCTGCGACCTCGGACCGTCTTTCAAACTCAGAATAAAACTGAGGCTACTAAGGTTCAATCATCTCTGTCTTTCTGGATGAGAGGCTTGGAGTAGAGATTCTGCAGCCAGATAGATCTCTGACTTCCGGGCTGTGTCCCTGGTATGTTACTTCACCTCTCTAGGTCTCAGTTTCCTCATCTGTGAAACAAAGATGATTACCTTACAGAACTGTTGTGAGAATTAAATGATTATGCAATGTGCTTAGAACAGAGCCTGGGGCATAGTAACCACTCAATATGTGCTAGCTATTATTATCATATCATAAAAAACTCTGAATAATTGCTCAGCCTGGTCCCAGACCTTAGGCAGGTTGCACCTGCACAGCCAGAAGCGGTGAGTAGAGCGGTCAGATGCCTGGAGATGGTAGGTATGAGAGTGGACTAAGGCTTCCTAAGGTTAGCTTTCAGCTTATTTGCATTGAACTCATTCAATTAACATTTATTGACTCTCCTAAAGGCCAGTCTATTAGAAACAAGGTAAAAGTGAACAAGTTTGTAAGTTGTTGAAGACAAACACAGGAACAGATACGGAGGAGTACAGGTCACTATGGGAGCTCAGAGAAAGAGCATGTAGGGGCCAGTAACATGTGCAGGGAGGGAGTTGTCCTAAAGGAGAAGATGCCCGAGGCTTGAAGGATAAGTAGAGAGTCAGAGGGTGGGGGACCCAAGCCAAAGTCCAGAGGCATAAAACAAGACTTGAGAGACACTGACGCACACACTTGGAAGCACTGCAGAAGGAGCCCCTCCCCGTCTAGGTTAAGGTGTCCAGGGAGAAGGACCCATCTGTCTCGCTTCTTTCCAGCACTCTAGCGCGAGTCGTGGGGAAACATGGGAGCACCTCTCCCAGCTTGGAACTGATCACGTCCCACGTACAGCTGGGTTATGGTGACTACTGAAACCCAGGGTAAGCCTTAGTCAAATGCATTTCACTTGCCTTCACTAATCAAGATCGTCTACGAAAGACGTGCCTGTCCTCCAAGCACCCTGGAGCCTAAACAAGATGTTTGCCCGAGCT